TCCACAGTTATAGGAATTTCCTCGGTTGTTTCCACTGTGGTGGAATATTGTTAAGACCATCCTGTGAGGCCATCAAACAACAAAAGGCATTCCTTTACAAGATAAACATATAAAATCAACACAAAAAAAAAAGCATTAGAAAGTTCAGAATGACTTTTGTACCATGATGTGTTCTGTTCACTGTAGTATGTATTAAAATATTATTTTGTATAAGATTATATTCATTCATGTTGTAATGGATGGAATTGTGTCAAATATGGTCAGTATAACAGTTGCAAGCTGGATTACACTGATTTTAATCTATTAGAGTATGCGGATTTGAAATTATGTTACACAAAGTTGCCCCAAAAAAATATCAATTATTATGAATATTACCTGTGGATTTTCATGTCTTTTTCTGTAATATTTGTGTAAAGTTGTAGAGGATCATAAATTTTATTTCTTTCATCTGAATGTCAACACCTATAGAGTTGCTAAAAAACATATTGAGAAAGAAAACGGCAGACCGAGGAACACAGAATCAGATTTTGTGTTCCTGAGTCTACTTTTTTTCTCTTTTATACTTGTGTTTTGTTATGTAGGAATATTGTCGTTATACTATTTCTCCATAAATAATGTAATTTTCTTCTTGTGAATTAAGGCAAACACTGAATGTCATTGTCAGTAGCGACACAAGGGATTCAACAAAAACACTTGCTTCATTATTGCTTAATGTCCGATTAACATCAAGGACTTAAGAAGGGTGTTGTCCTCCGTGAGTACTGAACCAGGCAAAATATTGTCAATGCTCCATGGTTACACTGATAAGGTAAGCAAATATTCAAACAGATTAAAACTCATGAATGCAATCCTGCGGGTCAGGCAACCTTCAATATTGAAAGTGCTACTTTGTCTGGAAAAGGAAATCACAATTGAATCCAATGAGGTTGGGGAGGAATTTCTGGCAACACCCACAGATGAACTAATAAAAGGGTTGAAAATGGAATGAATGAATGAAAGTTGTGGTTGAATTTCACACTTGCACACTTGTTTTTACTGATATCCTGCCTTTGTCATGGTTTGCCTGGCTGGGGCAGATGTGTGAATTTGGCACAGGGGCAAAGAGCCACTTAAAGCTTTAGCTATGTGGCTTCGAGCATAGTGGTTGGCTTACCCTAGTTGGTGTAAATAATTTCAATTATTTATCATTATTTATGTACCCAAATTTTAGGCAGTGAGGCGTTGCCCAACTGGCTTGCACGAGTGCGAACAAGATGGATATTTCATCTTTTTGTTCAGGATATAAACAATGATCCTCGTTTGCTGAACAATCCTCTTCTTCAGTGTGCAGGTTCTTAGCCACTACAGATTTTATTATTTTGGTACCAAGAGATGCTTACCAGGGGTTCTGTGAGTGACTCCGTATCAGTGAAGCGCATACTGGTAGGTTCTCCTTTCAATTAATAAACTTCTAACTAGTCATTGTTAGCATTACAGGTTTTATTTTTTTTCTCACAGGGGCTGAGAAAAGTATTGCTGCCCCGAATAGGTTTGGACATTTCTACCTCAGAAACTTGGCAATTCATTTTGGGCAAGACTTACTTTTTAATCTTTTAAAACCTGTGATTCACAGAGTATCTTGAATGCTTTTCAATATGTTTTTTGCAACTCGTATAGGTGTTTGACTTGCAAGTGAAAAGCTAATAAAGAATTTATGATCCTACAACATTACACAATATTACGAAAATGACATGAAAATCCTCAGGTATTATTCATATTAATGATATTTTTTGCCAACTTTGTTAACCTAATTCAAATCCCATAACTCATAGATTAAACATCGTTGTAATCCAGCTGTACAACTGTGATAATTGACCATTATTTGACACAATTCATCATTACAACTATGAATGTATTCATCTTATACAAAAAAATATTTTTAATACCTACTGTACAGTGAAACATGAACAAATCATGTACAAAAGTCATTCTGTACTTTCTTAATGCTTGTTTTGTGTGGATTTTTTATTCTTATATGTTATCTTTTAAGAATGGACTTTTTGGTTGTTTGATGGCCTCTAAAGGATGGTCTGTAACATTTTCTCCCCAGTGAAACAACAGGATTCCTTTAACTGTTGGAATTGCTGTCTGCTTCTGGGCAGTGCTCTGCCTTTTATTAAATATGTTTCATGTCAACAAGACAAGGCATTAAAGATGTCCAATTGAGGCTGCAGAAAATGAGTGCTCAGCTACAAAAGTTCAGTAGCGCACTTGGTCTCACCAGTGCAGAGCTCTGCGCTTGCTTCATGCATCCCAAATGATTGAAGACGATTGATTCTGCAGGAAGTTAACATAAATGTTTGTTTATTGAATAGAAGAAAATGCAAAACTTATGGATTCCCTCAAATCAACACCAACCCACTTCCACAGGAATTCCCACCATCAATATTGGCAAGAACAAAAGCAAAGACGTCAGCTTGCAGAGGAACAAAAATAAATCCAGATTCAGCAAAAGCTCATGTCTGGCCAAGAGCGCCCATTGTTGTTTATTTCAACGAGCAAAATGGTCAAAAAAGTTATTGAAATAATATGCTACAGAATTGCAAAACTAGTAATTGGGTACAGCTCTGACATCTTATTTTGATATTCTCCGTTTTTTTCCACAGTGTTTTCCATAACCACATAAAAAATATGTCTTGGATTCAGTTGCAGCGACTGTCAGGAATGGTTGCACTTTGACATGGGATGGAGTAATGGGTGAATGTCCAAAACCACGTTCTATTGGTAACTAATAGAGGAAATACTATTATCATAACCTTATTGGACAACACAGAAATGATACCTCAAGGGACCTGGAAAATACTAAATGAATAATTAAGAAGGGCAAGAAAACAGTTAGTCTGCCCCTCTTTTTTGTCAATGAAAACAAAAACTATAGGAAAATAAGAAGGAAATTGCAAATGCCCTAAATACTTTTTTCACTAATGTTGGACCTACATTAGTACAAAGATCGTTGAACCTAAAGACAACAAAAAGATTTATTAGAACGGCTCAAAACATAATTAAACTCACTTTTTCATAATGAGGAGGTTGAGGAAATGTGAAATAATAGATATTGTTAAAAAAAATGAAGGAATAAAAGGTCAACAGATTGTTTTAACATCGATTTGATGATAGTATATGATAAGAGCAATATGTGGTAAAACCTTTTAACATTCTTTGCATTCTGTCCTTTCTTACTGGCACCTTCCCTAAGAGAAATGAAAACTGCAAAAGTTGTTCCAATTTATAAAAATGGAAATAAACATATTCGAAATACAGACCTATGCAATCAATCAATCAATCAAAATTTTATGTATAAAGCGTTTTATACAAAAAGTGTAAAACAAAGTGCTTACAGGTTAGTTTAAAAATAATCAACATGCCCAGCCTAAACCCTCCTCCCACAGACCCCCCCAAAATCACAATTATAATTATCTATACAATACACACACACACACACACACAACACACACACACACTCATCACACAACACCACCACACCACACACACAACCACACACACACACACACACTCAACACACACACACACACTCACAACACTACACCACAACACCACACACACACACACACACACAAGTATAAAGTCTAAATCAGGTAAAATAGGTTAAAAACAATAAATAGAAAATGGGCATGGAGCAGTTGTTAACCGGCTGAAAGAGCGTCATCAAGGAGATCTGCACCAGGAGCAGAGGCGGCTGCAGCCACAGGCAACGACACAGGACCCAGAGGAGAGAGGGGGCCCCAGACCCCACCAGGCCCAGGACTCAGACCCCCATAGGTCCCAGAGGAGAGAGGATGCCCCAGACCCCCACCGGATCCAAGAGCCAGTCCCCGAAGCCACAGCAGGACTCCCCTGTCTCAGTGCAGGAGGGCCTCCTCAGGGGAAACACTGGGGACACTAAAACAATATATAATATACAATAGAAAGTAGAAACAATAGAATGTGAAATAATAAAATGGAAAAATGGGCAGCTGCCTAATATAATACAATAAGTTAATGGGTAGATACAATTAATATAATTAAAGATTAGTAAATAATAAAAATAAATAACAATATAATCCTCTAAAAAACCATAAAATAGATGTACTAAAAGCAATAAGAGATAATACTATACTAATCAAAATATGCTCTAAAAATGGTGCGTCTTGAGCCTGACTCTTAAAAATATGAACGTTTTCTCTGCGGCCTGAGGATCTCCGGCAGACTGTTCCAGAGACGGGGGCCTGTAGTGATGGAATGATTGCCTCGCCGAGAGTGTGTGTCCTGAGCTTTGGGAGATGGTTTGGAGTCTGCTGCCGGGAGGAGCGCGGGGCGGGTAAGGCTCATAGAAATAAAAGCTACATCTGAAAAGATAAGAAGGCCCAAGACCATTAAGACATTTAAATGACCATTAAAAGAACCTTAAATCGATCCTGAAAACACACGGGGAGGCAATTGCAGCGATTTTAAAAACCTGTGTAATGTGGTCACGCCCCCTGTTTAGTCTAGGACCGTGCGGCGAGTTTTGAAGTAATTGTAAACTGAAATGTTCTTTTTGGGAAGACCAGAGAGCAGGGATTACAGTAGTCAATGCGACTGGTGATAAAAGGCATGCATCAGCGTCTCCGTGTTGGCCCGAGAGTGAATGGGGCGGACTCTGGCGATGATCTTTAAATGATAAAACCCTATTTTTGTGATGTTCTTGATGCTGAGGAAAAAAAGTCAGCTCAGAGTCAAAGATTACGCCCAGGTTTTTTCAACTTGTGATGATGGACTAAAAGAGTGTGATTGGGTTTCGGTAAAAGTCTCTCTCTTCTGTGCCTCTGGACCGATGACTAAACTCAGTTTTGTCCTGGGTTGAGCTGGAGAAAGTTTTCTGCATCCAGGATTTCAGGTCTTAAAATGCAGTTAAAATGAGCTTCACATTGGCCTGGTGTCGTCCGGAGAATGGAGATGTACAGCTGTGTATATCCTGGCAATTATGCCCCCCCCCCCTCCCCCCCCCCCCCCCCCCCCCCCCCCCCCCCCCCCCCACCCCCCCCCCCCCCCCCCCCCCCCCCCCCCCGAGTTGTGGTTTGGGTTTTTCTGGTTGATTTATGGTGTTTGTAGTGTGGATGGTGAAGTAATTCCATGTCTCCTGATGGTCACCGCCAAGAGGGAGCATGTACTGGTTAAAACAGGACTGACTAAAATGGAACCCCTGGGGCACACCAATGGATTTTATGGACTCTGAGAGGTGCGGTATCCTAACTTACCATGAAGTTCTATCTCGCCGTGCCGCAATTCTCCAAGATCTCTGGAAAAGTTATTTGCAATTCGGCTTGACAATTTGGTGACAAAATACCAATTTGTGGTACGTGAACATCAATATGGTTTTCGATCAAAATCGATCGACTACAAATGCTAAATCATTGGCTTTTGTGGAAGATCTGGCTACCGCAATATGATTTAGTGAATATGTCAGTGGGTGTTTTTATCGATCTGAGCAATGCCTTTGACACCATAGTATGGAAGGCCCGTGTCCGCCCATGTAAAAAAAAAAAAAAACAAGCTACAGAAAGTCAAAATTACGACTTTTAAAAGTCAAAATTTCAACTTTAATAAGTCAAAAATTTGGACTTTTAAAAGTCAAAATTAGAGTTTTTGATAGGCTGCGCATTGCTGCAGTTCGAATCAACTCGTAATTTTGACTTTTAAAGTCGAAATTTTGACTTTTCTTAAAGTCGAAATTTTGACTTTTAAAAAAAGTCGTAATTTTGAGTTTTTAAACTCAAAAATTTTGACTTTCTGTATGCTTTTTTTTTTTTTTTTACATGGCGGAAAGACGGTTCCATACTATGGTGTCAATGGCATTTTGCTCAGATCGATAAAAAAACACCCACTGCATATTCACTATTATTATTGCTGTAGCCAGATCTTCACAAAAGCAATTGATTGCTTTTGTAGTCGATCGGTTTGATCGAAAACCATATTGAGGTTCACTTAATCAAAATTGTATTTGTCAACAATATTGTCAGCCGGAATTGCAAATAACTGTTCCAAGATCTTGGAGAATTGCGGCAGAGGCGAGATAGAACTTCAGGTAAGTTTGGATACTGCTCCTCTCAGGTCCATATAAATCACATGTGGTGTGCCTCCAGCGGTGCCATTTTAGGTCCAGTCCTTTTTAACCTGTACATGCTCATCTGGGCGGTGTCATCAGGTGACATGGAAGATGACTTTCACGTTATGCAGATGATACACAGCTGTACATCTTCATTCTCCTGACGACACCAGGCCATTGGATGCTCTTTTTAACTGCATTTTAAGACCTGAAAATCTGGATGGCAGAAAAACTTTCTCCAGCTCAACAAGACAAAACTGAGGTTTTAGTCATCGGTCCTGAGGCTCAGAGAGAGAAACTTTGTACCGAAAAACTCCAATCACACTCTTTTAATCCATCATCACAATGTGAAAAACCGGGCGTAATCTTTGACTCTGAGCTGGACTTTATGCCTCACATCAAGAAACATCACAAAAATATGGTTCTTTATCATTGATAAGAACATCCCAGTGTCCGCCCCATTCTCCTCTCGGGCCAACACGGAGACGCTTGATGCATGCTTTTATTCACCTGGTCGCATTGACTAAGTAATGCCCGCTGCTTCTGGTCTTCCCAAAAGAGGGAAATTTCAGGTTTACAATTATCTTCAAAACTCGGCGCACGTGTCCTGACTATGAACAGGGGGAGGCCGCGGGGACACACTTTACACTGGTTTTAAAATCCGCTGCATTGGCTCTCGTTAGTGTGTCTGGGATCGATTATAAGGTTCTTTTAATGGTCTTAATGTCTTAATGGTCTTGGGCTGTCTTATGCTTTCAGATTTGCTTTTATTCTATGAGCCTTCCCGGCCCCTGCGCTCCGCCGGCAGCAGACTCCTAACCATCCCCAAAGTCAGGGACACTCACTCACGGGAGGCATCTTTCCAGCACTACGGCCCCAGTCTCTGGAAAACAGTCTGCCGGAGGAGCTCAGGGCCGCATGAGAACGTTCATATTTATTTTGCCGAGTAGGCTCCATGGACGCACCTTTTAGAGCAGCTTTTTGATTGTATTTATTATCTATTATTGCTTTTTTGTTACATCTATTTATGTTTTTCGACGGATTATATTTTTATTTATTTTTATTATTACTATTTTTAATTAATGTTATTGTATCTACCCAATACTATGTTTTTATTTTAGGCAGCTGCCATTTTTCTTTTTATCTTTCATCATTCTATGGTTCTACTTTTCTATTGTCTTATTGTTATTGTTTTAGTCGTCCCCTGTGTTTCCTCTGGAGGAGCCTGGCACTGAGAGCTGGGGTCTGCTGTGGCTTCGGGGGCTGGCTCGTCTAGATCCGGTGGGGGTCTGGGCCTCATCTCTCCTCTGGGTCCTATGGGTAGAGTTCCTGGGCCTCGGTGGGGTCTGGGGCCCCCTCTCTCCTCTGGGGGTACTTGTGTCGTTGCCTGTGGCTGGCATGCCGGCTCTCTGCTCCTGGTGCAGCATGGGCTCCTTGGTAGACGCTTCTTCAGCCCGGTTACATCTGTCCCCAGCCCCATTTCTTTTTATTGTTTTACCCTATTTTACCTGATATGACTTTATACTTGTGTGTGTGTGTGTCTGGTGTGTGTGTGGGGGGTTTGGTGTTTTGTGTGTGTTTTGTGTGTGTGTGGTGTTGTGTGAGTGTGTGTGAGTGTGTGTGTGTCGTGTGTGTGTGTGTGGTGTGTGTGTGTGTGTGTGTGTGTGTGTGTGTGGTTGTGTTTTTGTGTGTGTGTGTATGTTATATATAATTATAAAGTGATTTGGGGGGGGTCTGTGGGGAGGAGGGTTTTAGGGGTCTAGGGGCATGTTGGATTCTTTTTAACTAAACTGTTAAAGCATTTGTGTTACCACTTTTTGTATGAAAAGGCGCTTTATAATAAAATGCTGATTGATTGATTGATTGATAGGTCTGTAGTTATCGAATATGTTTATTTCCCAGTTTTATAAATTGGAACAACTTTTGCAGTTTTCATCTTCTCTTGGGAATGGTTGCCAGTAAGAATGGACTGATTGCATATGAATGTAAAAGGTTTTACCACATAGTGGATAATATTTTTTAACTTTCTCTTGATCGATGTTAAAACAATCTGTTGATCCTTTTATTCTTCATTTTTTTAACCAATAGCTATTATTTCTTTTCCTCAACTCTTCTTTGAAAAGTGAGTTTAGATTTTGTTTTGAGCCGTTACTATGTAATCTTTTGTGGTCTTTAGGGTTCAACGATTTTGTTAGATAATGTAGGTCCAACATTAGTGAAAAAAGTATTTTGGGCATTTTGCAATTTCCTTCGTTCTTTTATATAGTTTGGTTTTTCATTGACAAGAAAAGTGGGAAATCTCCATTGTAAACTCACGCTGCAAGTTCTTGTTTTCACGCTTCATGGTCTCCAGCTGGTCAAGAGATTCTTCATAGGAGTTCTTCATCTTGAAAAGCTCAGTTCCCATTGAGCGGGCCTCCTTTTGAGTTCCCTCAAGCTCTGCCTGACCCTCTTCAAACTTCTGCTTCCATTCAGCCAGGACCTAAAGTGGGAAATTATCAAAAGAGGTTATGGTCAAATAGAAATGAAAAGGGTTAGGGTTAGAAATCAAATGGTTTACCTTGTCGAAGTTCCTCTGCTTCTTGTCAAGGTTGGCAGCAAGACCATTAGCTCTCTCCACATCAATCATGAGATCCTCAACCTCACTCTGCAACCTCTGTTTGGTCTTCTCCAGAGAAGCACACTTGGAGTTGACAGCCTCAATCTGCTCCTCGGCCTTTTGGAGCCGTTGAGCAAGCTTTTTTCTTTATAAGAAATAGACATCATAAGTAAACCTACTGAATTTCAATGGTTTAGTTGTGCCGCAGTCTTTAAAACTCACTTGGATTCCTCAAGCTCCTCAGTGCGCTGGATAGCATCAGTTTCATACTTGGCTCTCCACTGAGCAACCTCGCTGTTGGCCTTAGACATACCACGCTGAAGTTCAGCCTTGGCCTCCTGCTCCTCTTCAAACTGTTCCCTGAGCAGATCACAATCGTGACGAGCTGACTGGAGTCCATGAGCAAGGGCATTCTTGGCCTGAGGGAACAAATACATTATTGTATTTGTTGTATTGTATTTCAGATGGAATTAGTTTGTTACATACCTTGACCTCCTCTTCAATTTGCCTCTTGGTCTCCTCAATCTGCTGTGTGAAAGCCTTTTTACCTCTTGTCAGCTGAGAGACCAGGGCTTCCTTCTCTTCGACCGAGGTATTCGCACTATTGTGGAAGTTAATGAGAAGAGGCGAGATGAGTTCAGTGTAGACTCTTTATTCTCAACTTCACGCTGTTCAAGAATGACTAAGGTCAAGTTGGAAGCACTCAAAAAGTAACATCCAGCTCATGTCCACACTACTGATAAATGGCCCTTTACAATGAGATTACCATTTGTGTGTGAGACGGATTACCACACTATTCTCAAGATACTATAGTATAATTCAATGCTTAAATAAACAAGAATACACATAACACACATATTTTCTTATAGACAGAAAGGACAGACACATGTATGTAAAAACGTACCTGTAGGATTAGGCAAATTAAAGCCTGGCAGACAAAATGATCAATAAAAATTTGCGATTTAGACCCCAGCAGAAATATTGCATGACGTTTGCAGAATTTAATTGAGATTATGAGCTAGTCAATGCCCCGGGGCCTAAACTCTGATCTTGTGAAGGAAGCTGTGCCGACACAATTATTCCTCCGGTGATAAGGTGGCAATGGGGAGGAGGTGGGTTGCTACACGAACTTGATGTGAGGACAGAGAGGCTCTTTTGATCCCAGTCTGGATTTCCGCTTCAGCTGCCTGTTTGGACCAAGATAGATTAATATATGTTATAGGGACTTTCTCCTCTTAGAAATGTCAGCTATAAGGCCCCTGAGCCCGCACCTCAAAAGACTCCTCAGGATGGGAAGGAGCAGCGACTCTTCTCAGAGCTCCTCCTGTGCAAGATCCTCACCATACCTCTTAGTGACCACTCAGTTACGTTGCTGATCTTTTCCTATGAGCTCATGACCATAGGTTTCATTTGATCTCAGACAATATGACATTATTATAAGTGTTTGTTCTTTTAAAAAGCACATGATAATGGATTCAAAGGACAATCTGGACATCCATAGTTTCACCAAAAGCAGAATCTTTTACTACAAATACTTGATTGCTCTGTTCTGTTGACTGGTTTTACAGAAGCTGCCGTGCGTGTCGGTTCTGGGAGTGAAACGTTCAAATATCGTGACCATCGCTCTGAGCAGTCTGCCCCCTCCTCACCTCCTGCCTCCAGCCATCTACAGCATGGACTGCAGTGTTCTGGACCGAGAGGATATACAGGTGAATCATACTGCTCAGAAAACGATGAATATTGACTTCTTTCAAGACGTATTCATCCAATCCACTTTACTTATATAACACATTTTATAAAACACAGTGCTGCACAGGTAAAGATAAGACAACAAAATATACAAGTCTGTCAGATTTAAATAAAAATAATTAAATTGATTAGTATTATGATGCCGCTGTCTGCTGTATGCAAACTTCTGACATTCATGGCTAATTATCTTATATTTAGAAAATATACGGCTCAATATTGATCTCATTTGAAGTTAGCTCCAAAACTCCACAACATGACAATACCCCAAAGTGGTTCACCCCTCATCTGAATATTGTCGTTCTTCTTGGATGTTTCACAATTTGGCAGTATAGACTTTCCATTTGCATTGGAAAGTTGTTCAAGATTGAAGATTGATTTATCATGTCCGAAGAAAATTTGTCTTAGTCTCACATGCAACACCACTGGAAACTATGCACATAAGACAGAGGTTCACAGATATGGGGAGGAAAAAGTTCTTCCCCACCGATTGTGGTATATTTTATTATTGCAATAAACAGACAAAAATGCAGTTCCAAAATCAAGCATTATGAAAAACAAAATTATGTCTGGCAAGAGGCAAGTCTTCTCTTTGTAAGAATATTTTAAAATTGTTAAGAACATACAAGTTTTAACACATATACTGGGACATTTGAGGCAATAACAAAATGACCACCTGCAGGAAGCGGACTCCATCACAGCAGTTGCACAATGCACTTGTAACGATAACGCACATATATTGTTGTTTGGTCCAGCGTCTGCAGAGCATCCAGCCCACAGAGGAGGAGCTGAGTGCGATCAGAGAGGCGCAGTCGCGGGCCCCTCACAGCCCCCTGGCCCCAGCTGAACTGTGCCTCCTCTCTCTGGGCTCCATGTCTCACCTCAGCACCAGGCTCCAGCTCTGGGCCTTTGCTCTCGACTATGACTCCATGGAGCGAGTGAGTACGGCGGCACCACAATCTGACGTTTTTTCCCCCAGCATTGCAATGTAATTTATGATATGTGTAGTAAAAGGTTTTTGTTTAAATAATAATAATAACAAAAAGAGTGTGACAATATATGAAGGGACAAAGAGGTCTAAACTATTCTATATTATTAGTGCACACAACAATAAATATACATAAGAAATATACATACAGTACATTTTTATATAAAACTCACAATAATAAAAGTACATGATGTAATAAAGTCTATGTAACTTTTTCTAGTTTTGGTTCTATCACTAGTTTTCACATCTATTTGTTTTTGGCTTCTGCGTCATTTTTAGATTAGTTTATCTCTACTTCCCAGACAGAAAAGAACCACCCTCAGCTTTCAACCAGTTGCATCAAATAGTGACTCACGGGTCTCTTTCTTTCAAGTATGTAAAAAAAACATGAATAATATGAAAACAGAATGTAGCGGTCTGATTTTTTCACAAATAATTTATCTTTCTACAACATGTAGTAAAAAAAGCTTTAACGTGCTGTTAACTTGTCCAATCTTACTAATGTTTATATTGATTTTGTTTAATTTGAGCAAAACGGAGCATAAACTCAAGCAAAAACAAAGTGATTGAGAGCTGTTCAAGTTGGACCAACATTTCTATCTATTTTGTGTGAACAGGAGATAGCAGAGCCTCTGTTCCATCTCAAACTGGCGATGGAGCAGCTCTCGGACAGCAAAACCTTCAGATGGATCCTGGCCACTGTTTTAGCCATCGGAAACTTCCTCAACGGACGCAAAGTGAGTGAATATGAGCATATCTGGCAACGCACTGTGCACTGATCCACCAGTAAATAATAAAGGCCCAGGTTGGAAGTGCAGACTAAAGAGCTCAGGTGTAAAGAAAACGTTTTGCAGCCGCTTAAAGCTGCACTAACTGACTTTGGGTTTTTTAAGCCGCGGACCCGCTGGCCTCGCTCTTTCTGCTCCCCTCCCCGCACCCACGAAGCTATCGCCCCCCACAAACACACACTGTTGGGACGGAGCTAGCGTCTCCCATGGATAAACACATGGACTTGGAATTGCACGTGGATGGCGTGACCATAGAACAATAGAACCGGGGAGCGCGGAGGAACAGGACTTTCTTTTGGATGGCTGTCTCGCTGTGTAAGCAGTAACCAGTGACGAAGACGAGGAAATTTCAGGTTAGCTCCTCGGCTTGTTGTGCTAACTCAGCCGTCTGCTAACGGACCTGTAGATTTCTCACAAAAGTGGGGGCTAGTGGTCCGCCGTGATTGGTCACAATCTGCGACCCGAAACACATTCTCTTCCTTGTTTCATCAAAACTCGATCTAAAATAGAATGTCACGCCAGCACAAATCTGCGCTACTTTTTCTTCAAAAGGACGTATATCCCAATGCACTACATGGACATGGATAGCATTTTTGTAATGAATACAAAAATAAAGTCAGTTAGTGCAGCTTTAAATTAAGGCTTTTTGCTTGAGGATGTTGGGGCGGATACTTCCATCTCCCTGGCAGAGGTCACCAAGGTGGTTGGCAGCCTCCATTGTGGCAAGGCGCCGGGAGTGGATGAGATCCGTCCTGACTATTTAAAGTCTCTGGATGTTGTAGGACTGTCTTGGCTGACACGTCTCTGCAACATCGCGTGGCGATCGGGGGCGGTGCCAATGGAGTGGCAGACCGGGGTGGTGGTCCCTCTCTACAAGAAGGGGGACCGGAGGGTGTGTTCCAATTATCGTGGGATCACACTCCTCAGCCTCCCCGGTAAGGTCTACTCCAAGGTACTGGAGAGGAGGCTACGGCCGTTGGTCGAATCTCGGATTCAGGAGGAGTAGTGTGGTTTTCGTCCCGGCCGTGGAACACTGGACCAGCTCTATACTCTCCATCGGATACTCGAGGGTTCATGGGAGTTCGCCCAACCTGTCCACATGTGCTTTGTGGATTTGGAGAAGGCGTTCGACCGTGTTACCCGGGGTGTCCTTTGTATGGGGTCCGGGGTCCTCTGTTGAGGGCCGTTCGGCCCCTGTATGACCGGAGTCAGAGCTGTGTTCGCATTGCCGGCAGTAAGTCGGATCTGTTCCCGGTGCATGTTGGCCTCCGCCAGGGCTGCCTTATGTCACCGGTTCTGTTCACTGTATTCATGGACAGAATTTCTAGGCGCAGCCAGGGGCCGGAGGGGGTCCGGTTCGGGGACCAAAGGATTTCATCTCTGCTGTTTGCAGACGATGTTTTCCTGTTGGCTCCAACGAACCAGGACCTGCAGCATGCACTGGGACGGTTTGCAGCCGAGTGTGAAGCGGCTGGGATGAGAATCAGCACCTCCAAATCTGAGGCCATGGTGCTCGACCGGAAAAAGGTGCCATGCCCTCTCCGGGTGGGTGGAGAGGTCCTTCCTCAAGTGGAGGAGTTCAAATATCTCGGGGTCTTGTTCACGAGTGAGGGAAGGATAAAGCGTGAGATTGACAGGCGGATCGGTGCAGCGTGCGCAGTGATGCGGTCGCTGTATCGGACCGTTGTGGTAAAGAGGGAGCTGAGCCGAAAGGCAAAGCTCTCGATTTACCGGTCAATCTTTGTTCCCTCCCTCACCTATGGTCATGAGCTTTGGGTAATGACCGAAAGAACGAGATCGCGGATACAAGCGGTCAAAATGAGCTTCCTCCGCAGAGTGGCTGGGCGCTCCCTTAGAGATAGGGTGAGGAGCTTTATCAATTTTATAATTTTATCAATAATAATAATGATAATAATAGTTGATAATATATAAACACCAACATAATGATCAAAATAAAGATATGTCCCTTTTATTTTCAATCAAATTAAACATTTTGGAAATAACCAGGATCAGTTTGAACTCCAAACTCACAAATAGGGATTATACTGGTCCATAAATCTAAATGCATCCATAAATTTTCTTTTTACGCAAATTGTTTCACAAATTAAACATGAACTATAAACATGTATAGTAAAGAGCTAAAATGAACACCACTAAAAACTGATAAAACAATCACTCCATGTGGAAAAGGTTGGAGACCGCTGCTCTATGATGCACAGACTTAACCACTCTAGATGAGTAGATCATTAAAGGCAGAAGATTAGAAAATATGACAAAGACAGCAAGACGTCATTTCTTTGAGGTTCTGTATCTCTCCTCTGCCTGATGATGGCGCCATTTCACAACAAATTACTCTTGAACGATAAAGGACGGAGGTAACTTTTGTTTATCTATTCTGAGTGTGTTGGTATCAATTATGCAGCTACACCAGTTTCTCTGCAGCACCGTGTCCACCCAGGAAGTGACCTTGAACTAGGTTAAACTGACCTATTTTAATGAATGAATGAGTTTTATACATACATCTCAACTCTGATTGAGTAAAGTGAGTAGTTTGAGCATCATATCATGTGGGCTTTATCTAAATAGTTAAAGGTTGAAATATTGATCTCAAAGTACTGACACCAGGAAAACACTTCTAACTACAATACTTAAAAATCCTTGCCATCTCTGTCTAATATGATGCTATTTTAAGAACTATTTCTCATGAAACAGCTGTTTGTTCTGCAGGTGCGGGGCTTCGAGCTGTCCTACCTGTGTGAACTGTCTCGGGTCAGGGACACTCACTGCAGACAGCCGCTGCTCCTTCACGTCTGCACCCTCCTGCTCCACCTTTACCCACAATCCTCAGACCTCTACTCTGACATCACTGCGGTCACCAGGGCCGGCAAGGTCAGTTTATTTGCATATACAACATTTGCAACAATTCTTTCCTCATCAAAAACAGTAGCTGAGTAATATTTTAGATTCACACAAATATGACAAACTTCCGGCAGAAATTGTTTCTATTTTGGTGTAGCCCATATACATAACATGCAATGAAACTGATTATTGTCTCATGCTGTTGATACCAAAAAACTGTGGAAGGAGTGGACTAACTGA